CACTCATGAGTGGGGAAAGAGCTTAGACTAAAAGAAGATTGTTCCCAGTATTCATCATCTTCTAGCGAGACTTTCTCTGCTAGGTTCACAAAACAGCACCCTGCTTTTGCTAGATGAAAGGGTGTATTTCTGCTTGGGTAATAGTAAAATGTCGCAAGCTAAGGATGATACCTGTGCTACAGAAATTTGACATGTCAGAACTCTAGATAGGAATTTCCACTACTGCAGTATTGCTAATAGTGCATGCAGTGAAGCATCTTCAAAACAGATCAAGGACCTGAACCCCAGCAGAGTGAATGACAGTAGCTACTTTTTGGTGTACTTTTTTTTTGTTTTCCTATTTTCAGTGGATGATAGTTGCCCAGACAGCACTATAGCAACTAGTGATGTTACAGCAGAGGGCACAATGGGGACCATGGAAAGTGCAATGGTATCAGCAGATGTGTCAGAAGTGTGCGAGAAAGGAGATTCTCGTGTGGTTCCTGAGGCTGATGCAAAACTCTCTCTACGAATGAACCTTGTTACCCCTGTGAATGATGGGAGTGAGGAGTCCCTGCCATTCAGCTTGGAAAGTAAGAGGATGAAACCTTGAAACATACAGGTCCTACTAGATCTCAGCTCTAACTTAAAAACTCTTTGTGGCATTCCCCGAGACAGTCACTGAGTCTCTCTAATTTTTCTCATTTTTCTTTTTGGGCAATGCCACTTAAATTTGTTCATCTGTTTCTGCAACGCTCTAAGCAAGGATGGAGAGGAGGGGCCTCTGTTGGGAGGAAAGGTACTTCCAGCAGACTAAAAATTGTGGTGTATAGTGGCAATGTCATAGGACAGGAACCGGAGCTTGATTATATTGAGAGGGAAAAGATTTAAAACGTATAATCTGGACAAAAAAGTTTGACAGCATTTTAATCAGAACAGTGACATTTAGTCTAATAACCTAAAACTTGCAGAAACTCAGATTTGTGATGAGAAATTGGGTAGGGAAGCCTGGGCACCCGTTGTCCGGTGTTACTCAGTGTCTGTCTTCGCTGAGTGTTGGGGGCTGGGAAGGGGCAGGAGAGTCTGTTCAGGTGGCACTGAAATCATTCTTCTCTTCCTTCTTGTTTCAGACCCTACAGCCAGTGACAGGAAAGATGTATCTCCTGCTGCTGCCGGGGCTGCTGCCAGGTAACTGGGCTTGTTGCTGTACAGAGTTAATATAAAGGTTGGGTAGATCCTTTTTCTGCTTGTTACCAGCAGCAGGGGAAAAAAAAAAATGAGACACAGAAACAGGGAACGCTTTTAGCAGCAGCCACATTAACTCTTTAACTCTTGCAGCAGATTTTAAGTACATAGTCAAGGTGGGTGCCCCACCTGGTCTTTCACTACAGGCTTTGTGCTTTCTACTAACATCAACATTTTGCCTCCTTCTGATTGTAGTCAAAGCAGAAATTCACATCTTGTACAATCCGGAATGCGTTTGCCCTATCCACCTCTAAAATTTCAAATACAAAATGGTTTTCTGCTTTCTTTCCTTATTGTGCAAAGAATCTCTGAAGAGTTCTAAAGGAGAATTCTCTTTTTAATATGAAACTGATAGAAACATAACCAGGTCACAGACATACTGAAATCACAGTTTAACATGTTGACCAAAACATAAGTTACTCCCTTGGTCTTTTGATTGGTATGTATCTTAGTCTCATATTTAATGCCTAGCATTTCTTGATTTTAGCTTTTGGGGATGGGCAGTGTGGTTTGTAAGTACTAATAAGAATCTGAATCAGATGTTAGTGACCTGTAGTCATCTGAGTGAAGTATAATGGTTTGGAGCAGTGAGAAAACTTTGAAATAAACTCAGTATCTCTCTTGTCACAGGATTGCATGCTGGATGGTAATCATGCCTCAGTGCTGAGGATGAGTGGCAGTCATTCCTCAGTGTCTGAGGATGGATTGCCTTTGTAGGTATTGGTTAAACTTGATCTCTCAGGATCTGCTTTATGACTGTCATTCCCAATATTTTTTCAGTGTCATGAAAATCCTGAGAAGTAAGCCATAAATGGTCTGTGTCCCCTGGTGGGTACCAGAGGTAGTAGAGCTCTGATGGAGCTGCAGTTTTCCACACTGTGTTTTCTGGAATTGTTACATTGCTCTTGGCTGTTAGGGTGTCTGCAGAAATGACAGAAATGCTTATGCCATTCCAACTTGTTTCTTGACCTTTGAGACTGACCATCTCACTCATTCTGTGGCTGTGTAGGTCAACAAGCTCAGTACCAGTTGTTGCTTTCCCGAGGGGATAGAGAACTCTTGTTTTGCTGTTTAGGGGATTTTCTCACTCCCTGATGCTTTTTTGTTTGTTTGTTTGTTTGTTTTAAATCTGCACGGCTAGCTCCCAGAAAGCATCATCTGTGTTTAGTCGTGTCTGTGAAGTTCGTCGAGAGGATGAGGCCAGAGGTCATGGTCTTTCCACTTCTCCATTTAGGTAACTCCTCACAGTCTTTGCCTGCCAGTCCTGATTGGATTTATATGCACATGTGCATTTTCTACAGCAAAGAAATTGCACTAAGTCATTGTCTTTGGGTGACTTAGAAGGTTGGGGACAATGGGGTAAGTATAGTAAGTGCTGTATGTTTGTATTTCACATGGTCATCAGACTTACCTTTTTGACTGAGCGGTGATGTGATTCCAGCTGGCTAATATGCTTCAGTAAAATCTGGGGCTTGAGCAAACTGAGATAATACTTACAGCTGTTTAAGTACCTTCTCTTTCTCCTGTTCCAAGATCTTCTGACCTATTGTGTTTGTTGTTGTTTCTGCTATTGTCTCTCTTTCAAGTTCTCCCATCAATTTTTGCTGTCTCTGGTTGCTTTGAAAAGTACTGTACTGCTGCATATCTTATGGTGATAAGGGTGCTGGCTGGAGGACCAGGTATAGAAATCTGCTTCTTCAGTGTTTTCCATTCTATCTTCTGATGGGGCAGTGAGGTCTTGGTCTACAGAGAAAGAGTAACCTATATTTCAAGAGCATTGAACAGTTACACTAAACACTGTAATGCCAGTGCTGGGTGATGTACAGACAGAATGGAAGAGTCACTCCTTCAAGTCCTCGAGTACATGAGGGAAGCCAAGCTTATACTTCTAGTAAGGCTCATTATACAGTCCCATATAGCACCTGATAACACTTTTGACGGAGCAGACAAATTCTAATGAAAACGTTAGACAGTATTTATGTTTCTGCTCCTGCCTCTTCTGGCTAGGTGTGATTACCAGTTTCAAGCCAATGAAGTGCTGAAGCAGCCTGTAGCAACTTCAAGATGGCATGACTTCCAAAAGCATGTTGCATAGTTGGTGTCTGACATGTGCAGTATAGATTGCTTTATTAGTGTTTGGAGAAGCATCTAGTTCTCTATAGGTGTCAGCCATTCTTCTTGCTACCACATGAATCACTTGAGAGATGTTGAAAGATTGTTTTATAATTTGAGACTCACTGAGTTCTGTGCAATCTTAAGAAGCAATTGAATGACTACCAGGGTGGTGTTTGGTTTTTTTTTATAGTGCTTTCACTTGAGTGGCAGCATATTAATTGTCTTGCTTTTTTAATCAGTAATTTTGACCTGTAAAATAACTGGTTTGCAGGGGGAATCTGTTCAGTTTTCCTGGCACACAAGAAGATGCTGAAGTACATAAAAATGTCAGTGGTTGGCAGTACCAGCAACACAAGGCAGATGACAGTGGTGGACAGGTCCTAATTCCTCAGACGATGCCGCAGGACTGCCATCAACAACCTTCTGGTGCAGAGGATGGCGCATATGTGGAGACTGGTATTGTAAGCACTCAGACAGAAGGGAGAAGAATGCAGAAGAAACCCAGTAAGGCTGTTAAAATTGATGAAAGCCAAGAGAGGTGCGAACACACTAAGAATAAAGGGATTCAAACTACAGCAGACTGTCTTTTTACACAAACAACTGTTACAACAGCAACACAAACATCAGAAGAAATCTGTAGGCAGGTGGAAGTGGGAACCAGTATGTCTGGGCAAAGACCTGGGCGACAAGATGCAAATGTCCAAACTGAGGAGAGTGGCAAAAAGCTTGTGAACGCTTCTGGAGAGGACACAGACTCTCTGCACAGTCAGGTGGGATGAAGGCTGCCTGTCTTTGATTTTAGTGCTTTAGAACAGTAAAGTATCCCTTCAGCCAGTAAATTCACTAACAGTAGGTTCTCTGTCGAAAAAAAGCCAAAAGACCACTTTAAAATCTTAATGTCGCACGCTTTCCTGTACCAGCTGTACACAACTGCTAAGGTAGCAATACTCAATGGATGGCATAAGTTTGGGAAGTAAATATTTCCGTATTTATTTTCTGGAAAACTATGACAAGTTTTGTTTGTTTGTGATTTGGTTTTGGGACCTGTGGTTTTTTTTTTTTTTTTTTTTTTTTTGTGTCCAGATGTAGTTAACACTGTAAAAAAATTTCCCCTTTTTGTTGGATGGAGGTGGGAGTTGCATGAAATTTTGAGTGAAGGGTTTGATGCCTTCTGTCTTGCACCAACCAACTTCTGACAGCTTTTTCTGCCACGCCATCCAATGTCAATGGATAAACACACCATGGGAGAGCTCCTCCAGAGAAACATTGTAACAACATGAATAATTTACGATTAGTATTTCAGAAAGTATTGGAGACTCAAGAAAAAATCACTGCTTTGTGGTTACAACTTGTACATTTTCTTATGAACACAAAGAAAAGAAGATTTATTTTTTCTAAACTTGAATTGAGTAGTGCATCCTCTGGGAAATAGGAGATTAACAGGGCCATAAATATGCAATGCAATATTGATGTGAGATGTCTGAGAGTCCACTGAATGAAAGAGTATCAGAAGCCACACTAAGCAAGTTTGCTGTTTCCTCCATAGAATGCTATGATTTCCCTTTTTCTACCTGTCAGCAAAATGTGTTTAGTTCTCCCTTGTTTAGGGTCTCTTGTGCTGTTGCATGTCATTGGTAACAAGATGCTGAAAGGTTCTCTACCCCAGTATCTGAACATGGTATGAAGAAACTGTACTGCAGAGATGGCTCTACCCAGAAAGTATTTGCTTTTCATTGTGGTATGTTTTGTTTTTAATTTGTCCTGTTCATTACAGGGAGAGGAGGAGTTTAACCTTCTTCACCCACCCAAAGGCCGAGTTCAGCATCGCCACATGCGAACTATTCGAGAAGTGCGCACTGTTGTTACGCGTGTTATAACAGATGTTTACTACATAAATGGTGCAGAGGTGGAACGAAAAGTGGTTGAGGTAAGTTCCTGTTTTCAGGGCTAAACGTGATGACAAGTTTGCTGAAAAATAAAATTAACTAAAATGAAAATGTGTTGTAGATGCAGAAAACAAGTTGAGTGAACAAGTCAGCGTGCTGTGATGACAAACTTTTCTTTATGAGCAAACATCTAGCCATTTAGTACATGGTGAAAACTGTGTATTTGTTGCTGGTTTATTTCATGCCTGTTACTGTATTCTGAAGACACACTGACTTTTTTTTCTTCCCAAAGAACTGAACAAAAGACTTTACTATGTGTCTCCAACTGCTTTAAAATTCTTGGGGTTTTGTCAGAATAGAGAGATTTCAGAATGGGCAGAAATTCTACTAGTAAGCAAAAATCACTTCTGCCTGTAAAATTGAGCTATGTAAGGTAGTTTAGCCTGTTTTGCAGCTCAGTGTCATTTTTAACCACACTCTTTTGAGTCCTGTGGAACAGATTCTGTAAGAGGTCTACAAAATGAAACTTGAGAACAATAAACAAGCCTATTGTTAGTACACTTGTGTTGATCTATGTCCCTTCATTAATCAGAAAATCTATAGGGAGTCTCAAAAGATAGCTGATAAACGCTGATTTGATGTGCACAGTAATCATATCAGCCTGCTAGCAATAAAATGTTACTGCTATTCTGCTATAAAGGTAAATAACATGAGTCTTGTGCTGTGTTGTTACGAGTAATGACACAAAAGGATAAATTAGTTCAGTGCAAAGCTCATACTTTCACACCTGATACTACACATGAAATTGCTTATTGTAACATTAGAGAACTAGGTTTCCTGAAATGTGCTTACATAGGTTGTGTAAGCACAATCATACAACCTTTTCCAATTTATCTACTAACGTTTGATATCACTATTTTGTAGATACATATTTTTATATCCATAAAACTTTAATGGCTCCAAATAATGACCACCTGTCTGAAACTGATCTTGGATTATTAGTAACCAAAGGCTGCTAGTGTCTCATGTGTTTGTTGCACTTTCAAAGGGTGGGAATGATTCAAAGCCAGACTAATTTGATACCAACCAAGCTCTGTCCTGTTGACTGATTTCTTAGTGTGACTTCTTTATATAGAGCACTACAGGCCTATAGTGAGAGACACACTGTCCACCATTGATCAGTCCAGACTCAAATGTGCCTGGCTATCTTAAGTTTCAACTGGTCTGCGCTTTTGCCTCGTAATTGTAGAGCTTCCATCTAGCAAGGGCACCACCTTTGATGAACCTCTTCTTTTTTTTTTTTTTTTCCCCCCCCCCCCTCTTAAGGAAACTGAGGAGCCTGTCGTAGAGTGCCAGGAGTGTGAGACTGACACATCCTCCTCCAGAACTGCAGTGGGCTCATCACTGACCTCAGGGGACCTTGGTGATGTCAGCTCCTTCTCATCTAAGGCCTCAAGCCTCCACCGTACATCCAGTGGAGCAAGCAGTGGTCACTCTGCCACACACAGCAGCAGCAGCAGCTCAGGGCGAGGAACTGCAGCTATCAAAGGGAAAGTGTGTGGGACAGAAACTGGAGAGTTTGCTTTACCCATTGGCAGAGGTGTCTTAGGAAAATTAAGGTACGTGCAGAGCCCTGGGAAAGGAAGAACAGACCTTTTGCAGAAGTGAACAGCTGGCTTGGGTGGAGTGTGAAGCAGGGTAGACCCTAAACCAAAAATTTTCCTGGATGGATCTGGCTTGATGAACAGAAATAGGGAGATAATCTGCTTTCACATCTGTTCTTCATAAAGGAGTAGTTTGTTTCCTTGTGAAGCATTGCTTTGCCTGAACTCTTGCCAGTTTAGCAGTGATGAGCCAGATTTCTTGACCATTTGTGAGATCACAGAGAAAATGGGGGGATCCTAATGAGCTGGCTTCTCTTTTCAGAGCAGTTAACTCATAAATTCTCTTAGCCCTAGGAAAGCAGCTGGTCAGCCAGCATCTCCGCTCAGAGTTAGCCAGACAGGAGCACTGCCTTGTGAGGAAGAGGAGGACTCTATGCCTGGCACTCGTCAGGGTGGCAGAGCACCTGTGACACCTCGTGGGCGAGGAAGAAGAGGCCGCCCACCATCTCGAACAACAGGAACAAGGTACCCTGAAAAAAGGAGACGAGAATGGGGAACTGCTGTCTTAATGCGACAGAGAAAAAGGAGTACTGAATGTTTCAGGAGCTAGTTTTTGGTGATAGCATGTAGCAGCTGCAGATATCTTGGCCAAGTATTCTTTGTTTAGTAACTGTTTTTCCTGATCCTTATGGGAGTGCTTTTCTCTTTTTTCCTTCTGGAGTGCTTTTCTGTGTTGGTTTTTTTTTTTTTGTACTGGGACTGCTTTTCTCTTCTCTACAGAGATTTAGCTGGACTGCCAGGTGTGGAGGATCTCTCAACTACAGCATCACCTGAGGAGAAATCATTTACTCATTCACTTCGCCTGCCAGAGGGAGGGGAGAAATCTGATGCTTCTGGCTTCTGTGCCTTACGTCGAAGTGACTCTCCAGAAATCCCATTACAAGTGGTGACTGGTCCTTCGGACTGTGCAGACTCATCCTCTGGGAGCAGCTTTGTGGGCCTCAGGGTTGTAGCAAAGTGGTCCTCAAATGGGTACTTCTATTCCGGGATGATTACCCAAGATGTTGGGGCAGGAAAGTACAAGCTGCTCTTTGATGATGGATATGAATGTGATGTGCTAGGAAAAGATATTTTACTCTGTGATCCTATCCCACTGGAGACTGAGGTGACTGCACTCTCGGAGGATGAATACTTTAGTGCAGGTAAGAGCCGTGCTTGAGCTCCATCCTTGGGTTTTCTGAGTTGTTGAATGCAATGGAGGATGAGTGCTTGTCCAGGAGGATGAGAAGCCTGGGTATAGTTGGTTAATGGGTGTCATTTTCTGTCTTGTCAGGTGTGGTGAAGGGACACCGGAAGGAGTCTGGAGAGCTATACTATTGCATTGAAAAGGAAGGCCAGAGGAAGTGGTACAAACGAATGGCTGTTATCCTGTCTCTGGAACAAGGAAATAAGCTCCGGGAGCAGTTTGGGCTAGGTCCTTATGAACCTGTCACCCCCCTGACCAAAGCAGCTGACATCAGTCTTGGTAAGGGGAGCTGCTGTTGAGCTGCTCGCTATACTGTTCTGCGTCTTGTGCCTTTTAGATGCTTCTAGTTCCTGACCTGAATTACCCATGTTTAAATCTTTCTGGGTATTCAGCAATGCTTTTGGTACTTTATAATGTGGTGTTTGAGACACTTTTTTTGTTTGTGTCTTGCTCAGAGACTTAGTGGTATTGACTGGTTTGTGGAGAGTGGCCTGCTTCTAGACAGTGATGCTTGCTGTACTCGTTTACACTTGCTGGATGGCTGCTGTGATACAAACCCTTTGGCAGTGCTGGGAGGAAAAGAGACAGGCAGGGTACAGGGCTTGAGAAGAAAGATACACAAGCGAGACATGTTTTTTTTTCTTGCTCTTCTCTGTCAGAGGGTGGTAGTGTCTACCTTCTATCTACTATTAAGTTTAGCCACATCTGTTCATACAGGTAGGGTGAAAGGTCGTGGAGTTAGGTGACAGCCAGTGACTAATCTCTGCATACTATGTTGCAGATAATCTTGTGGAAGGGAAGCGGAAGCGACGCAGTAACCTTGGTTCTCCCAGCACTTCCAGCAGCAGCACAACTCCCACTCGTAAAGGGCAGGAGAGTCCACGCATCCCACCAGGCACACTATCTGGGAAAAGGAAACTCGTTGCTTCTGAAGATGAGAGATCCCCAGCTAAACGTGGCCGCAAGTCAGCAATGATAAAGCCTGGTGAGAACCTTATTTTCTGCTCTTAAACTTGCATTCAAATATTTTTTCCCTCCCTGGTATTTCTGTAATTGATTTTTCCCCTTCCCATAAGCAAAAAGTAGATGAGATTGCTTGTTTGCCCTGCAGGATTTCAGACTGATTCTTCCTGGATGCATTCAGCAGCTGGAGATATTTTTAGCATAGTCTGTGTTACTTACCTGCCATCTTTTCAGTTCTGCCTTTCAGAAATGTTCTGACCTTAACGTTGTGATTTGCCTCTCTCCTTTCTTATCTTTTTTCTTACCTGTTTAGTCAGTCCTGAAATGCCTAGCTGTTAAAGGGACCCTTCACAGCAGTAAGTGTTGTTTCCAGATGTTGATAGACTGGTGAACATTGTCCCATTAGTCATTCAGGTTTTGATTTGAAGATTCTTTGCAACCTGAAGGGTAAAAGATCCCTACCTATCCTAGTGTAATCCTAACCCAATCCTGCCTCCCTCTGTCTCCTCCAGTAAAATAACTGAAGTTGAACATATCCCGAGTCTTACCCAGGGTCTTTGTGCTGAACCTGACTTGTGATACTCATGGTGCTTGTGTCTCTCTGCAGGGGCTGTGAGAGCCGGAGAGTTTGTCAGCACCTGTGAAGGTGTAGATGCTGTAGATACCCCAGTACTGGAGGACCATCATGGACCCTTGCCCCACAATAAGACCCTCTTCTTGGGTTATGCCTTTCTCCTCACCATGGCAACAGCCAGTGACAAATTGGTCAATCACCAGAAGCCATCAGATGGTCCCACAGGGAGTAGTGAGGAGGAAGAAGGTGAGGCAAATCTTACCCATTGCATTTCCAAGTGGAATGCTGTGGCTTTAGGAAAAATGCTGGATGCTGTCTCATCAGGCATTTGTGTGAGTGCTTGTTCTACCCTTTTGGTCTTTAATCCTTTGCAGAAGGGACCTAAGATTCAGTCTTTATTTTAGAGAATTTACAGCCTGAAATGTGGCAAACCTCAATGATGATCATAGGGCTGTTCACCAAGTTAAGAATAGTGTGAAAATTACGTCAGATCAGCAGTCTCAGAATAGTATAATATGAGAAGGAGGTTTTGAGAGATGAGGGATAGTGCTGGGAAACATAGGAGTTGAAAGCATGAATGAGTTGCTCCAGTTCGCCTTTGTTAGGGTTGGCCTTGGCTAGTTTGGCCAATGCTGGGCTTCCCTTTCTGCTGCCCACCCTTTTTTTTTTTTTTTTTTTTTTTTGACTCTTCCAGCAGTTTTCTCTAGATATTCTTGGGAGGAAGGCTGGGGTCCCTTACTGGAATGGATGTGGGCTCTGTAGATGGAGGAGTGTATGGACATAAGCAAATAGATTGTAGCCAGAAGTTGACCTTTCTGTTTCTGCTGTAGAATTTTTAGAGATGACTCCATATGACAAACATTACATAGCACAGCAGCTGCGAGCAGGAGCTGGATATATCCTGGAAGACTTCAATGAAACCCAGGTAAGGGCTCACTTACTATCTAGAATGATAGTCACAGAATAGTTGAGATTGGAAGGAATTTCTATAGCTCATCCAACCTCCCTGATGAAAGCACAATCAAATAGGGCAGATTGCTTAGGTCCTTGTCCCAGTTGGGTTTTGAGTGTGCTCAAGGATGGAAACTCCACAACTTCTCTGGGCAACTAGATCCTGTGTTTGACCACATTTAAAAAAAAAAAGAAAAATTAAATGTGATTTCCTGTATTTCAGTTTGTACCTGTTGCCTCTTGTCCTTTTAGTGGATAAGACTGAGAAGAGTCTGGCACCATCTTTTGTACACCCTCCTATCAGTCACGAATATGCATTGATAAGACCACCCAAACCTTCCCTTCTTGAGCTTAAACAAGCTCAGTGCTCTCAGCCTCTTCTTGTATGTCAGATGTTCCAATGCCTAGATACCTTAGTGACCCTTGTCTAAGCCTGCTCCAGTATGTCTTGTTTTTTTGTTGTACTGTGGAACCTAGGAGTGGATGCAGTACTCCAGATGTAGTCTCACTACAGGTCTGTGCCTTGGAACACTTAGAGCTTTTCTCTCTTCACTTACCAGATCTACTTTGGACAACTAATTTCATTTAGTGTCACTTTTACTTAAATTTAGATTTTTAATAGAGTGGGTAAATTGTTCTTGGAGCATCTTGCCTGAGGCTGCAGAGTCTTCTCTAGTGACTTTCTGAGTCTCCAACTAAAAGATGAATCTCATTCGTCTGAACTGGAAGAAATGGTTATGATACAAAAACTGCTAGGCAGAGTTTTTGCCTGTGAACTGCATGGCTTGGAATAGGTGATTATTACAGGTACTCCTGATTTCAGAATCTGTTTTATCTAATTCACCTTTCACATAATATGGCTCTGAAAATCAGGGTTTCAACTGTTTTCTTCTTTAAAATATTCAGCAGCAGGATAACTTCTGGGGTTTTTTGCAAGCATTGTCTCCTGTTTACATGTCTTTTTATCTCCCCTGAAGTGTAATGCAGCATATCAGTGTCTTTTAATTGCGGATCAGCATTGTCGAACTCGGAAATACTTGCTGTGCCTTGCCAGAGGGATCCCTTGTGTGTCTCATATATGGGTCCATGATAGCTGTCATGCTAACCAGCTTCAAAATTATCGGAATTACCTTTTGCCAGCTGGTTATAGCCTCCAGGAGCAAAAATTGCTAGAATGGTAAGTGACAAATAACCATGATCCGAGTCCAGATATGGAGGATTTAATCAGAGAGAATTGTTATGCTTGGGAGGTTCTTGAATACTACAAGTACTGAAGGTGTCCCTAGTACTGCTCCCCATGCTTTCCCTTCCATCTAGGAGCAGCATTTCCATCTCTTTCCTTGGATTTACAGTGAACTCTAATGCCAAGGTACATTTTGGTGCCATATACACAAAAAAGACAGTCTCCTGGGAAGTAAGAAAGATGTCAGTCTCCTCATGAGGAAGACTGAATTCAGGCAAGGCTTCCCACACACTTGGCTGACTTCTCTAATTGCTCTGAAATGGATAAAGGAGAGAATACTACTGCAATTTCCTTTTCCTTTGGTACGTTTTGAAGCCAGCTTCTGCATTTCCTATGGAGTCTAATCCAGTAGGTCTGTTCTGAGAGACCAATTGTCAGGTCAGACTCCTCAGGCAAAAGGTGCAGGGATGGAGAAAAACAGTTTGGAAATATCTGTGGGCTTTGGGGCAGGAGACTGATACCTGCCTGCTCATCCCTGTCAAAGTGGGGGCATTTTTGGATGTGCACAGAAAAGATCATTCAGGATTAAGGAGAAGCTTAGCCTAACTTTGTATTTAGGCTGCTGCACACACACACCACCAATGTTGTCTAGCTCTGGTTTACAATCTATAAACAAAGGATAATTGTTCCAAGTATTGCAGGAGGGGTGGTAAGAAAGCAGGTCATTGTATACAAGGTATTCAAGGAACCAATATGGGAGCCAATCAGGTGACTAGAAGAAATAAAATGGTCCTCAAATAAAGTCTCAGACTACTGGATATTCTTAGCAGTCTGCATTTCTCTTCCTTATTCTACAGGCACCCACGAGAAAACCCATTCCATAACCTGAAGGTTCTCCTGGTGTCAGACCAGCAGCAGAACTTCCTGGACCTGTGGTCTGAAATCCTTATGACGGGGGGAGCAGCATCTGTTAAACAGCATTACGCAAATGCTCACAACAAAGGTACTCGTTGGCCAGTTTCTCAGGCCTAGTAGTTGGGAATCCTATGCCACTGTGGTCTCTAATATGGTTTAAAACCATTTAGAATGACTTACAAGGTTGTCTATAAGCATAAAGGAAGGCAAAGTGTAGACACTAGCTCTCTGCTTGAATGTAATCTAGAGAACTACATCTAGCAGACCTGCCTCCCAGAGAAGGAGATGCTGCAGCAATTCAGTACACAAGCCATCAGTTTCCAGCCTATGTTGAAATGGGGAAATAGGCAAGAGCTGCTCCTGGGCCTTCTGTAGGCCACTAAAATTGTGCTTCCTTGTCCTTCTGAATTCAACTGTCTCCCTCTCCATATGGGATGTAGGCCCTAGTAGTCACAGCCTGAAGTCAGGACTCATGGTTATCTAGTCCTGCCTGTAATGTTGGCTGTTGGTTTTCTGTTACCTTCTATCTGGACTAGAGGGAATCTTGTATTTGCAAGGTGCGGAGTTTCTGTAGAGCATGTCTTAATTTCTACAAAGAGAATTCACTGGCTAGGAATGAGAGGACATGGAAGAGAGAGTCATAGCAGTGAAACACACTGATGTGCTGCTGCAGAGATCCTTCTTTTTTTTCACCTGACAGATGCCTGTCTTTCCTCCTGTACAGATATTGCTTTGGGTGTTTATGACGTGGTGGTGACTGATTTTTCCTGCCCAGCTGGTGTCTTGAAGTGTGCAGAAGCTTTACGGCTGCCTGTTGTCTCACAAGAGTGGGTGATCCAGAGCCTTATTGCTGGGGAGAGAGTAGGCTACAACAAGCATCCAAAATATAAACATGACTATGTCCCCCACTAAACTAAAACTTTAGTTGTTTAGTGCTGTCCCACTGTTGTGCAGACTGTGTTTTAATCAGGTTTTAAATGTTTGTGTAATTGGACAGTGTGCATGGATTACTGTATATAGTTTTATCTACTGGACTTTTATGATGAAATAAATGTTTGATCTCTTGTGGTAGCTGCTGGGATTCCTCATTTATCTAAATTTATTCCAGGGCTGTGCCTTCAGAGGAGGGCAGACAGAAAAGAAATGCTTACATTTTTCTGAGCTGAATAGCACTAATATTCTACTTTCAGTAAAGGCTGACCTCCATGCAAAGTCAATTGTAAAGGAAGGGAAAGGTATTCTCAATGGGCAGCCTGTATTTACTGAAGTGAATACCCTGTGACCAAGTTCAGGCAGCAGCACTTGTTTGTTGGAAGAATAGCATGTTGTGTACTCCTCCATTAATTTCATCAAGGTGTTGCTGAAGTGACTGGTAAGAATTTCTAGGACAGAGTGGCATTTTGTTTTGGCTGCTGTTCTTTTTTTTCCTGTTGTGACTACATAGGTATCAACCTGTCTTAGTGCAGACTGGCACTGCCTAAATAGGGATATAGACACAGGCACCTAGGACAACTCAACTGCTGGGAGAGTGCAAAGAGTATGTAAGTGCTATGTATCTTTGCTTAAATGGTAAGGGGGTAAAACATGCTTCTGAGTTGCTATATTCACAGACAGGCACTTTATCTTAGCAGTCAGCTGGCATAAAGACAAAAGCTGAGTGAGTTCAACAGCTCTTCACTCCAGTGTTGCTATACGCTAGAGCTATACCCAGGCCTCTATCCAGTATTGTGGATACAGTCTCTTACTTGATGCGTATTTTTTCCCTATCATTTCACAGCTCAGTCACCTTCTGACTGTGTTAGTCTGTAAATCCCACATCCAAACTTCAACACCCTTTCTCCCGTTTTCTAGCTTTTTTCATGGTCCCAGGATTTTAAACTTTGCATCAGGCGGACTCCTACCACAAAACAGCCGTAGTGCATTGAAGATGCCAGGCCTTATACTTGCTGTCTGTTGTTACTGTATCTTTCTGAGTGAGCAGAGAGGATTTTCTTTCCCCCAAGTACATCTAACTTTCTTCAGAGCTGCAGCTTTGGATACTGTGAAAATACCAACCCTTTGAGGGGAAGGCTGTTTTCCTGGCAGCATTTGTGTTCAAGTTGGTAAACCTGATACTACACCCTGGTGACAGACTGGAGGGCTCTCTTCTGCCACTCATCCAAATGGACTTAGGGCAAGAGAAGTCTGTTTGTTAGCGCAAGGCTTGGAAATCTTAGTAACATACAAGAAGTTCCTGCAGGATAATGCTTTTCATTGAAATAGGATGCTGTGCCACTCTAGTTTCTTTGCACTTGGGTGCAGACATTGACAATATTCCACATAATTGCATGACAAGATGGTTTTATTTTGGTTCAGTAGGATAGTCACTAGTAGCATTCTAAATAGTCCTGAATGAAAACAGTGTGTTTAGAGCTGGCATCCTAGTTAAGTTTCTCCCTTGCTTTGAGTTCTAGCACACTTTCCTGCAAGCAGAGGGAGCTTTGTACTTTTGAATAGGGCAAAACTCCTACTTCTGTCTTAACGTGTGTAATTTTAACACACTAATGTATTAAGTTTTATAGTGAAAGCATGTGACATCACTAATGGCTCCTTTACCTATACAGATGTGCTAGAACAGTACACCATATGAGAAGAGACTCTTAAAACCTATTCCTTTTTCCCTCCCCCTTTACCTCAAGCTGCTATTGCAGTTACTTGTGTGTTTACTGCACAAGTGGAACTTCTGAATACAGCCAAAAGTTCATTCATAGTCAAGAACAATAGATACTTTCTTCATACTCCAACTTGCAAAGGACCATAGTCCAGCTAAAGAGTCAAGACATAATTCTTGTTGCTTTTTCACTTTCTTAAGAGGTACAGACTGCCTCCCTAGAAGCGTTTATAAGTATATGCAGGGCTGCAGAAAGCATGTTTTTACTAGTTCAGAAAAAATGCAGTAGCTTTCTGCCATCACTGGGCAGCCTGCCCATTCTAAAACAGTAACTCCTCAGGCAAGAACCAGCTACAAAGGAAAATTCGGTTGCATGCAAACTCTCCAAGACCACTAGTCTTCACTGCTTGACACGCTGTTAGTTGCAGCCTGAAGAAAAGGTCTTGGTGCTTAAACCCCAAAACTGCAAAAGAAGGGTACAATATTAACTACATATTGAAAGGACCTCCCTTTTCAACCCACATCATCAGCATTTTTAAGCTAATATGAGCTAGCAGCTAGTTCAACTTCATGCCAAAACAAACTTGAAGGGGAGAAAGCATATGAAAATGAAACACTTTGCTTCTAATGATTTTGGCTTACACAATCAATAAAAAAATACTTACGATGATTTAGATCACTTTGTACTTCAAGTACCTCAGTATAATGCTACAAGCAACCCTGAAAGTATTCCTACCTGCCCAAGGTTCCTCCGGCCTGGGTGTAGTATTTGTTATAATCCAAGCGTAGCAGCAGCTGAGCTAAGTCAGAGTTTATTTGATGGTTGCGAACACTAGAGAGAATCTTGAAGAGAAGTGATGACTGACGACTGAATCCCTACAAATTAGAAGAAGTCAGTTCTGGGCACTCTCAAGAGAGAAAGCAAGCCTTTCATCTTTGTTCCTGCCTAAACAATCTTTTAACAGCCTGAAGAAAAGAATCACTGCAAGAGATGTGATGCTTGTGGTCCAGTACAAGGTAAGCTGTCTGCCGCAAGAATTATTGGGTGTTAGGTATCCCAACAGGAGGGGTAGAGACACAGGCTGATATCCACCTCCTTTCTATTCGAATAGGGTAATTTCTGCATATCTGCCCATGTTCCTCCTCTCTGTGCACACAGAATTTTTGACTCAGGAAGAGCTGATTAATTAAAATCATTGCAAGCACTCATAGAGAAGGTCTCAGCTTAAACTCACCCCTGTTCTACATCATTAAAGCCAAGATGACTGCTTAGGCAAATGTTTGCATGGGAGAAGAACAGGTCCATATAAACATATATTCACCTTCACCAGAATACCAAGTTGTGCAGCTCCCCGTTCATCTAATGGGCCCAGATTCTGACTGACCAGAGAACAAAAGCTATGACAAAGATCCAGAATTTCATTTAAGCAGTGGAAAACCTGCATGGGATAAAAAATACAAGATCAAACCCAGAGAAAGCTGTTCTTAGTACCTGAAAAGTTGCAGCATTCATAATCAAGCCATTGATGATACGATGTTTTTCAATCAGTAAGGAAAATGTTGAAGCACCTGCTGCATTTTTGTAAGGTTTTCTATGGAAAAAGGACTTAAGTATGATGCTGCATGTTTTCCCTTCACCCCCAACCTTCTGCAGACATTACTGGGGAAACAGCGATTGGCATAAGCCATCCACACAGGCACAGAATTTGAATGTTGGCTTCCCTATCCAACCAGCAGGCCATCATTGCAGCTGTGGGATTGAGAAGGAACAATAATGTGTTTCGTTGATACCAGCCTTCTTTGGGAATGTTTTTGTGAGGCTACATGTTTAGTAAAAATATTGGCAACACTGTTAACATATTTTTGACAATAAAAAACACCCCTAAGGTCCACTCAGGAGCATCTCAACTATTTTTATCCTCTGAAGTATAAATAAAAGCTATTTTTTCTTAATCTAATGCATATCAGAATGAGTTCCTCAGGAACAGAGTTCCTGGCGCTATGCTAATAGAATGGCCTGTGACAAAAATATAGTGACAAAATTTAAGTTAATAAGGTTAACTGAACACTAGAATAATCTTGATTTAAAACTGCCAGGAATGCAGCATCCACACTCACCAACTGTAAATTTAAGTGATCTTAACTCAATTACCTGATCTAGTTTATACCTTCTTTGTTCCTGGAATTATAGCCTGTGCTCTGCAGGAGATTATCACTGGTCTCGTTTAAAAGAGATGATTTGTCACGTCCGTTCAGAAAGGTGTGTTTCTTAGGGCAGTTGGAGAATTTGTAGAAAATGGTAAAAACAAGACCTACTTACGGGTTTTAGGAGGATGAAAGATTGAGCCAGCAGGTTACTTAAGAAATGATCGTGAGCCAATCGTATACTCTCAAAATCTCGTGTGGCATTTATCTGCTGCAGAAGCTGTGAGAACTGGGATTCCAGTACATCCACCTGATGGATACGTACAGAAATCTCATTAGTATCTTGAGAAATGGGAGTACTTCAGACCAGCCAGAAGTTTTTGTGTAAGAAACTTACTTTCCTTATTGCTAGTCTTACCTTAGAGGCTGAGGATCACCTTCTCTCTGCCCCCTGAATGGGGAATTATATACAACAGTAGTACACAATGGGGGAACAATGACTAAGTATTATCTAAGCAGAAAGGGACATGGTCACTTTCTTTAATATTAACTATTGAAAAAGTACATAGCTAGCACGTAAACCAAGGTTTAGTCATTGTAGTCATCTCTGAATTTTACACTGGGAGATACTATCTGGAATCTCAGGGCAAAGGCTGCAGTGCAAAAGCTCAGCCAGATTACTCTTGAGAATCTAGAAAGCCAGGCCCCCTCAATTCATCTGTTATGGCCATTAACAAAATTATATGTAATTCTCACAAAATCATGCTACTAGTAAGTGGTGTTTACTTACTTTAAAAAAGTCTCTTTTTTACTTCAATTCTTAAAACAACAAAAACCCCAAAACAACTTGTCACTTACTTAACTCAAACTGGAGTTCACTGAAAGAAGAAGAAGCCAGGATGGTATCTTAATGATGCTACTTCAGAAATGACTGTGGCTTTTCAGAAATGTTTAGTAGCGCTAGACAGCCAAAACTCCTGCATTTCCAGTAACACTCACTGATTCACAAGTCCAAAAACTTTATAATTCTAGCACTAAGTCTGGGAACTCAGAGAAAGTTCTAGACTTGTTCCAAAGGAAATCCTGATTTCCTTAAGGTCCAAAAAATCTGAACCAGGACTTCAGTGCTCCCTCCATGGATTTCTGCCAGTTCCTGATTAACTGATACAGTTTATCTCTCTCTATAATCCTGACCTGCAGGTAATACTGAAGGTTGTCCACAAGGAAAGCCATGTGATCCCTCAGACGCCACTTGATGGCATCAGTTCTGTTAGA